TAGACCAGCATGTTCACGGAAACTGGTCCTCGTGGAAATGATGGTGTTCAACCTATTTACCTCCCTCACCTGATGACAACGGCATCCACGCCTGCCAGTCCTGGCCCTTCGACGCCGACTACAACAGGTTCTCTTGACCATATAAAGACAAACGAGAGTATTACACCACCAGCAAGACCAAGCAGTACTCCATTCCCGACCCAAGAGCAATTAGACTGCCAGATCCGAGGTATTACAAGGACTGATGATATGGATTATACACAACGCCTCGATGCTTCGTTATCCCCGACTTCGACTATAACTTGTTCTCCTTCTACCTTTTACGACCTTCCTGTTGAAATAAACGAGTGCATACTGGACCATTTATTTGGGGTACGAGGTTCGATAACCGCGAGAAGCACAAGTCTGGGAAAGTCGAAAGCCCTACGGAATTGGAGCACGGTGTTAAGGCATTGCCGGAGACGGGAGGTGTCTGAACTAGCACTAGTCAGCAGCAAATGGAGACAACTTGTTCAGGAGCGGCTTTATCGTCATTTGAAGATCAAAGGCACCAGGGAATCCGTCCACCAAGCTGTGTCATGGTTTACAGATCATCCTCACCTTTGCGAATACGTTAGGCACATTGAGATATGGTTCCCCGTCTTCCAGCAACAGACTATAGTCGTAGACCAAGACTTCCACAACCACTCTACTCTTATTGATCGATCTACTCTTATTAGGTCACTCGCCCAGCCCGCTGGAGATCTTGAAACCATCGTTTACTATCAATCGCCGTCCAATAATTGTACGTTGGAAGAAATCTTCCATTTCATTAAGCTCACTTTCGCAAAAGCGTCGATCTTAACATTAGAGGGTGGTGAACGCAAAAAGCCTCCCATGGTTAGGCATTTTATTGACCATGAGCGGACTAAAAGTCTCCCGGTGCTAGAGTCAATAGAGACTTTAGTGTGTAAGGGCCAATGGAACCTGATTCGCAGTAATGAAGATTTCCAAACCATAGCTGGAGCATTACCAAGATTAAGTGAGTGGCATGGATCGTATGCCAAACCAAAGTCAAAGAGCTACCTATCAATGGCGACCATCTTACCGTGCTTGCCACTGAATCTCACGCATCTAAACATCTGCCTGGAAGGGGATTATAGAAGGGAAGCAGTGTCACCAAGCTTTGTCAGAAAGATCCAGCAAAAGACGCACTTTTGCGTAGACATGGCCAAATCCATTCCTACATTGGAGCATCTCACCTATACTGGTAGAGTTTGTCACTCTTTTTTCGATTTTGCTTCGAAATTATCAAGTGTGCGCACGACAAGACTGAAGACGGTAGATTTGGTTGTCAAAAACTGTTGCCGACCAAATTTCCAGTGGAATGACGGATCTGGCATCACTGACCTTGCATTTATCCAGGCATTTGAAGCACTTGTTACCGCGGGGGTCAAATCATTGAATACTCTGGCGAAGGTGGAGTTCTTGAGAATCAGGTTCATTGATCTCGGTATGTTCAGATAATGATGTTGACGTGATCTATGTTTCTCACTCTTTCTCATTAGACTCTCAAGTTCCACCCCTCAACCCATACTTCCAATTGGAGCACAACCAATGTACTGGACTCTGGAGTGAGACTATTGTTGACCACCTCGCCAGAGTACGACCCCATGCTGCGTATCTCGAATCTGATAGCGATTCCGAAATAATCTTAGATAAGAACGGTAGGCTATGGAGTGGTCCGCCATCATTCAAAGCCCGGCCGACATCAATCAAAGTTTCGAGCTACCTTCAACTTTCCGTCTCGGGTATTACGATTACTTGAACGTTTACATAACGTATTGCTTCATTGTCTGTGACAATAACATTGCTGTCGTATGGCGTTAACTGGAATTAGCATCATATTTACATGGTCGGAGTGGCTAGCGGAATTTACGGCATGGAGTTTTCGGATGGTTTATATTAAGGATTGAGCATCGCGGAAAAGGCGTCGGTCCCATCAGATACCAATTAGTGTGCTTTTTGTCAACAAATCGATCTAGCGTATTGAAAGTATTGCTGAATGTAAATCGATTCAATGAATTACACATAGCTTATGAGCTTTATTGATGGATACTTAATACAAGTGCTTCTCCCTACTCAGTATGTATCTTTCCCTCACGCCTCGAATTCGAGCCAATGTCGGAGACAATGATACCTAGAATCCAAATATTGGTTAAGAAGAACAAGATACTAGCTAGCCATAACCCTGGGACAAAGGTGCTTTGGCCTAGAAATTCTAATTCGAATCCTTGCTGCAGCCATAATGCTTGAGTTGCAACCCATACCAGTGCAGCCATGATTCCAAGGTACTTCTGCTTCAGAAGTGACGAATCAGGCAGGTAAAAGGGTAAGAACACCATGTACCACAGAAAGTACTGCGAGGATATTAGATATAAGGGTCACTAATGTGTGAAACCGGGCCAACTCACCTGGCTTGTGCAAACTTTATTGAAGGACACGAACGCAAAAGTCTGTGCCAACATAGTGGATGCCAGATCCTTCTTGGCAAGAATAAGAGGCAACGCAAACGCCGCTAGGAAGAGCTGCGGTAAGAAAGCTAATGACTCCAAAGGTATGGAACTGACGCCAACTGGAGAAGAGTTCAAGTACAGAAGGGTATTGTATGGCGAAAAGTTGTGGCGGTGGTCGATTCGTGTGACATGATGCAGATAAGTATGCTGGAGGAACGGCCAGCCATAACTTCACTATGTCAGAATACTATGTAAAAAGTGAAGGGTCATAGCTTACATAGAATACATGGCAAGGTTCAAGGTCGCAAATGTAATAAGGCTTATAAACGTAATCTGCACCCGCGATCCATTGAGAAATTTCCTCACTCGGCCGAAAATGTCCAAGTCTTTTGAAGACCCAACACCTTCACTGTAGTTTAAATGCTCGTCATCAAGCCACCATATGATAGACGGTGCATATATGAAGGGGTAAATCTTGAAATGAACCCCAAGTCCTAATAGAAGGCCTGCTAGAATAATTCTCTTTTGCATGACGGCCCATAGTAAAGCCATAACCATGACGCCTAGCAATCCCTCTGAACTTCCCCTAGTGCTAATCGTGGCAACCATTGGATTGAGCAGCCAAATACTGGCAAATTTCAAGGCCCTATCCATTGGCATTTTCTTCGAGCTTATTAGCACTTGTACAATTAACCATCCCGCAACAATGTCTCCGACAGCGAAGAGGGCCTTTCCAAATGAGAACCACGTGCTTGACCATGCTGTTGGCAATAGCATCCATGCAAGCAGTGGCGTATATCGGTAAGTCTCCCTATCGTATGGCGAGCCTCCATGCGCTGCAAAACGAGCAGCGTCTGTGAAGACATAGTAGTCAATGTCTGTGTATTTCATAGGAGAATTGGCATCTTGCCAAAGTCCATAAAAGAACAGGATGACCCGCAAAGCAATTGCAGAAGAAAAAACAAGTGAAGGGCTGGAAAAGAACTGGGCCATATTTATTTGAAACAACAAAGGACGAAGAATATGTGAAGAGAAAACCAATTCAGGGCTAATTCTACGTGCACGTCATAATCATTATTGTGTTCTCTAGGGAGATGTTGTGGCCATCTTACCGAAACAAACTCAAAGTGCTGTATCAAGGGATTATCGGCAGCAGGTTTTAGCGGGCCGCGGGTGCTTGCATAGTATCCGCCTGATTTCTCGTAACACAACACTTCTTGCGTCACAAGGATGGCAAGCCCTGAGAACCAGTTAGATGTGAGAACATCTGGTAATTCAAGGGGAACTAAAAGAAACTTCAAAGAATATCAAGGGAAGAGCGGTAATGAAACAAAAATGGAGTTAGATCAACCTGGTCGAGTTTCTCCATTCATGCCCATGTTTGAAGGATTTAGAGCTGAGTTGGATGAACATCACGATCGACGAGAGCGAATTATAAAAGCTACACGAGATATTACAGCCTTAAGTAAGAAGCAGTAGGTATCTAACAGGCCAATTGACATTATAGAATTTTGCTAATATTCCTTGTCCAGGATTTTTGCCCTACAGCGGTAAGGCGTCACATGTTCAGAAGACATCCCCTTTTCTTGTTTGCTAATGGCTTCAGTGCTCGATCGCTTGGTGAATTCGAACCAGCAATAATGAAAGATGTTTCTCAATATGATGAGCAAATAAAGTCAAAATTTACCTCAATTCTGCCTGACTTACAGGGGCTCAATTCCTGGCGTTATAGACGTAATATCACAGGGGCCATTCAAGAATTTCTCGAAGCTCAGAGCTTCGGTTATTACATTAAATATGAACGGCTTCTGGAATTCCGCACAGCTGAGGAATGCTTTCCAAAAGGGATTTTGCTCACTCCTGAAGACTACATCTTGGGATTATTTGACTTAACCGGAGAGATGATGAGGTTCGCCATCACCACTTTGGCTACTATGGGTGGGTTGCCTACCTTTAAAGATGCTACATCTCAGAATGGAGCTCGGAATCTCTTGTCAGATATGCAAGAGATCAGAGCATCTTTTGAGGCTCTAGATATGACAGCATTTGGAGGGGGTGCCATAGGCAAAGATGTTCAGAAGAAGATGGAAGTGATGAGGACTTGTGTCGAGAAGGTGGAGAGTGCTGTGTATGGCATGAAGGTTCGGGGCAGAGAGCGGCCAAAGGGATGGGTCCCTCCAATGTCAGATGATAGAATGCCAGAAGATTAAAATCGAGTCTCCTGAAATTATTCAAATAGTACTTGGTCAACTTGTAAAGTGAAGGGGCCTTAATAAGCGCTACAATTTATTTGCACGCAATATCTTCGATAGTCAGGAATTCTATTAAAAAACATATCCTAGCTTCATGTAATGATTTAGTTCCACATAATGATTACCTCAAGCTACTAGTCTCCATTCTAAAGCATCAGCTTGCTTGCCTCCTATGTGTAGATTTTGAGACGAGTCTAAGCTTCTACTCCCATATAGCAATCGTATATTTTGGAATAAGATCAGGAAATTTCAAGGCAACTTGGCCGAGCGGTTATGGCGCTAGCTTCAGGTTTCTGATTCGAAGAATCGGCAGAATGATCGCTAGTTCGAAAGAGCGTGGGTTCGAGTCCCACAGTTGTCATTATTATTTTACCTTTTTCGTCCTTTAGTTTTTGATGTTTACTTTTTGTTAAGCTTCCGGGATAAAGTCTCCATCTAATTCTACAAATCTAGCTCAATTCAATTTCTTGCTGCGTTTTTACGTTCGCCTGGGAGTGGGAGATTTTTTTTTTGGCAAACTCAAATGTGTGTTCTATTGATAGACCCCACTTCTAGCCCCGCCTAGCGCTTTGTGCCCCGCCAAGGCCATCTCGTCCATCTACAGAGTAAGAACAGTATTATCAAGAGTTTGACTTGAGAAATTATATATTGGGCGAAGGAAAATAATAAGGCGGTATATGCAGGCGATTGGTTGAGCTATCCATAACCCATTGATGGAGGACATAAACCTCCTTAGATTAGCCACGGCCCATGTCTCCGTTGGATGAAGCCATGGTAGCCAGCTATGCTTTTGCTATCTGTAATAGCCATTATTGCGGCTTAAGACTGCTTTGCCAAAATAGACATTCAATCCCCAGGTGCTAGCTAGTATTTAACAGAATGTTTCCTATATTATTAATGAGATTAAAATTGAGGGACTTGATAACTAGTAAGCTCCGGGGAGAATGGTCAAAGTTGTGCAGAACTCGAATTCAAGGGGCTTTCTGAAGACCTCTCTTCTGTTACCCGTAGGATCAATCCAATTTACTCAATTCAATAAGATTATTCACTGAATGAAGTAAACTACCAAAAAAATCAAAAAATGATGCATTAGCCGTGAATCGAACACGGGGCCCATCGATGGCAACGATGGATTTTACCACTAAACCACTAATGCTGATTGTTGTAGACCCGGCCCTTATGCTATCTCATCTTTCAACAGCTCCTCATCAGTTTAGCAAAACGGAAAAGGGAGCTTTCGCGGAGTAAACGAGCTAACAGTGGGAACCCCTCTGTACACCAGCATCCTACGGTATCATTCGCGGTAGGTCGGACGCAAGACAAGCTTCCCCAGATAAGAAGTAGTACGAAGTTTCTTGGAGACCTATGAACTGGCAGTTGATCTACGCATAAAGAGGCTTTGCATCAGTCCTCAAAAGTCATATTTCGAGATATGACGAAATCATAGTGACGGCTTGAAGCTTGCATTTTTAGTCTACCTGCTACTTCTGCAACCCAAGTCCACCGCTCCTATGGATGGAGCCTGTGACGTTTCTCGTTAGATTCCCGAGGCTCTCTCATCAGCGATATTCCGCGAGATAAAAGGCTGATTTAACTCCGATGTGGCTAACCACTATCGGATCTAAGTATTAGCTTTATATATTTTAATGAGGATCACAATTTCAACAACCGGAGAAACACCGACCAGCATTAGTGGTTTAGTGGTAAAATCCATCGTTGCCATCGATGGGCCCCGTGTTCGATTCACGGCTAATGCATCATTTTTTGATTTTTGATTTTTTTTTGTTGATTCTTTAGTCCCTGTCCATCAACAATCGTTGTAGGGATAAGCAGTCCTTGTCCAAAGCGGGTCAATGGATCAGCAATTCTGGTTCCACGCACATCACAATACAGCACCGAGTGACTCGAGCACACCGATATTTCAGAATTACGAACTCTTTGGGGTAAGATTAAGACCACGGACCATCGACCGTGGCCACGTGAGTGGAGAATTTTATGAGTTCCTGGACCCCCGCGAAATGCCATATTGAAGCGCCAATCCTCTTTTTCACCGGCTAGCGTCGATGCCCGTGTTGAGCTACTGCAGACCCCTGAACCGAGGGGTGGGCAGGGTCTGTGGCGTCCCAAAGCTAGCAAAACAGTATTTCCTTAGGTTCTTATCAAAGAGTTAGGCTTCCTACCTCATTCACCCAACTCTTCAATAACACTTTCACGAAGAGTAATCTAACTGTCAACAAGATGCTACGGTGGTAAGTAAACTCGTTGCACCTCGATTCTTTGAGGTTTCCTGCAGCCGTTATTTTGGTGATATAGAAACCTTGCTAACAGGAGCAATGTATTTCCAGGTACCAGAGGAAGTTGGCTACAAGCCCTCTTCTAACACAGAGTGTCACTACAGCAGTGCTCTTCGCAACTGGTGATGCAGCAGCACAACAGCTGGTGGAGAAGAGAGGCTTGAAGAAGCATGATTTTGCTCGTACCGGCCGAATGGTGTTGTATGGAGGAGGTGAGTGTTTCTAGTGTAGCTCTAGTAGTTTCTTTTGTGATTTCTATGATCAATCACTAACAATCAGTGTTGTTTAGCCGTATTCGGACCTGCTGCAACAACCTGGCTCAAATTTTTGCAACATAAGATCGTGCTTAAGAATAAAAATGCCGAACTCATCAGTCGTGTTGCGGCTGACCAATTGATTTTTGCACCGACCAACTTATTCTTCTTCTTAAGCAGCATGGCAGTAATGGAGGGAACGAGCCCGAAGGACAAACTGGACCAAAGTTACAAGTCTGCCATCACAAGCAATTGGATGGTCTGGCCTTTTGTTCAGGCTGTAAACTTCAAGCTGGTCCCCTTGCACCATCGAGTTCTCGTTGTCAATGTCATTTCTATTGGATGGAACTGTTATCTCAGCTTTCTCAACAGCAAAGCATCTTGAACTGGATACATAAACTGCTTTGGACAGACTCCTAGGCTGCTTCATGGGGAACTTGCGATTTTACAATTAACGAAAAAAGGACTTCTTTCGCGGACCATAGACAGCGATGGCGTTATGGAGGGATAGATAAATATGTTTTAGAATCCTCGAACACTTTGAGGAGACTTCTGGTCTTATTCTAGAATTGAATTGAGCTGTATTTGGGATCTCAACATCCTTTTCTGAACCCAGTGAATAACAAAGTTGCTTTTATGATAACTAGTGAGGATTGCCTACCAACGCTAGACTATAAGTTATTCGTTATGTTATCGTATTCCGTTGAAACACTGGATATGCTATCACGTGGTGTTGACAGCTGTTTGTGCCTGAGGATGTAACACCAGGCTAAGCACTCCTGCGGCTTGTGCCTTCTCCAAAAAGATGCGGAAAGCCCACCAAGCAATCATCTTCGCAGACAAAATCTACCTCACTTCAGATTTCGCATTCAACAGCTTGCCTGGAGCAACTGTCGCCTGCATTTTCTTCAGAGACTGATACCCTTCTCATCACTTCATCAGATTCAAAGATTCCTGTGGATACTTGGATCAACTCAAATCTGGTGAAACGAAGATATTCAGTTGAAAACTTACATTCGCTCCACTCTCGTACGCCCTCTTTACCTTTCTTACACAGATCAATCACATTTGAGATCATGGCTACCGCAGCAACTGGAGAGGCGACCTCGTCTGACCAGGTCGACCTGTCTACAATCCCCATTTCCCCAGATGGAGGTGACAAAGCCACCGACGCAAAGCCATCTGATGACGAGCAGATCACCGTCTTTCACGACAAGGATAACTTCAATGTCAAGCACCCTTTGATGAACACTTGGACCCTATGGTTCACCAAACCACCTAGTGGCAAGGTTTGTTTAGCGGCTTCTGAGAACATGCGGACCAAGCGCTAACAATAGTCAGGGAGATAACTGGAATGACCTGTTGAAGGAAGTCATTACTTTTAATTCTGTTGAGGAATTCTGGGGTGTATATGTACGTTGGCTAGCTTTGTTGTTTTCGTTAATCCTACTAACACCTGAGATTAGAACAATATCGCCCCCACATCTGAGCTGGCTCTCAAATCCGATTACCACCTCTTTAAAGTGGGAGTCCGACCAGAATGGGAAGATGTCCAGAACAAGCATGGAGGTAAATGGTCTTATCAATTCAAGGAGAAACGCAATGTCCCTATCGATGAGCTCTGGCTCCATGTCATGCTCGCAGCAATCGGCGAAACTCTAGAGGATGAGGGAGACGGAGAGGTTATGGGTGTCGTTGTCAACGTCAGAAAAGGATTTTACAGAATCGGTGTTTGGACCCGAACCATTGGCAAGAGTATTCCTGGTGGAGGTGATGGAGACCAAGCGGGTGGCAAGGGCCGATCCCCTGAGAAAGGCAAGGAGATTCTCATGAATATTGGACGAAGATTCAAGGAGGTTCTCAAGCTACCTCCATCAGAATCTGTGGAATTCTCTGGTCACACGGATAGCGCCCACAGTGGAAGCACACGTGCCAAAGCCAAGTTTGTTGTGTAGACTACTCTACCAACTATTCCCTGAGATGAGATTTCCTTTATGTTATTTTCTCATTAGTATCACGATACGACGGCATGGGCCACGATGAAATCACGGTTCCTTGATATCACGGTAGTATGCATAGAGGAAGTAAGGCCTACAGCTGATTTTCGCTGAAATATCCTGGCCTACTATAGCTATTGTTCCCATCTTCAGGAGGGTTTCCTTAACGGCGTTACACTCTACTTGGTGAGATCTTTATGATCTCTAGTATGTTCATAGGTGTGGCACATTAATAAAAGTTATAGCTTCGATCCCGGTGTTCTTATGCTCTATTTGATGATTTTTGAATGGCTGATGATAGCCGTAGAAAAATACATTAGGCTATGAGTGAGGGGTACAAAGGGCATCGTTCCTTGGCTAGGTTGACTAACCTGGAGATGCCCAATACATGGGTTTCTATCTCTATGATGATACTTTTCTCTATGTCCTTTTATGCGCTGACTATAATACATCCTCTACGTCACTATGCTCATCCGCAAACACTTGTTGTACCAGTAACTTTTTGTTAACTACCACATGAGTCAGCGATTATGAAAGTTCGAATTTGAGTTACAACAATAAGGAAGCCCAGACAAAACTCAACATACCTTTCCCCATGGCATTCTTAGGAATCTCATCCACGACCTTCATGACCTGCGGGATCTTATAATTGGCAAGTCGATCTCTTAAAGCTCTCCGCATATCCATTGGACCCCATTTCTTCCCGACCTTCTCCTTCTCTTCAGGTTTCAAGATAATGATGGCTCCAACCTTGTGACCCCATTTTCCAGAGGGCACAGCTACCACAGCTGCCTCAGCAACCTGTGGCAAGGAAAGCAATTCTCGCTCGACTTCTAGTGCACTGACCTTTTCTCCACCAGTCTTAATGATATCGGCACTCTTTCGTCCGTGGATGAAGTACATCGGCCCTCTTGCCCACTCCTGGTCGCTGTGACCAGCACTGGGGACGACTCTTCGCACAGCGATGTCTCCCGTCTTGAACCACCGTCCTCTCCCATCTTCACCTTCCACAAACTCCTCCCTTGTCGCCTTCTCATTCTTCCAGTATTCTTTGAAGATAGTAGGGCCTCGGAGTTGGATCTCGCCGTCTCGTTCCCGGCCATCTTTGTCCAGTTCTTCACTAACGGGGATCACTTCGTTGGTTTCCGTATCTACGAGTCGTGCTTCGACAGATGGGAGCGGCCAGCCTACACTTGCATCTACGCGATCTTCGAATGAGAGACCACACGAGAGTGCCATTCCTACCTCCGTCATTCCATAGCGTTCGAGAAGCACGTTGCCACCACTTAAGTCCTTCCATGCCTGCTTGGTTGGGGTCGGTAATGCCGCTGAGCCTGAGATACCCATCCGCATGTTTTCTGGTGCTACGCCTTTCCTTGTAGCAGCTTGTAGTTCGGGAGAGAGATCCTTGTGGGTTGCTAGCAGACGGTTGTAGACTGTAGGTACAACGGTGAAGAAGGTGATCGGTTCTTTTATTTTGGGCTCTGGTAAGAAAGGCGCTGCTAATCGCTCCCAGACAGCTTGGGCGTTGAAAGGAAACATGAACTCAATTGTGGAGCCAGCAAAAAGGGGTGTCAAGATAGCATTGACTGTGCCGTGGATATGGTGGAG